ATCGGTAAATGCCAACAACCTACCCACCCAGAAATCATTTAATGCCCTCACCCACCAAACCCCCACCCACCATAATCTGTAAATGCAAACTACCTCACTTTTAATACCCACACAGTTCTAACCCCCTCATCCCACCCAAAAAAATTTAATGCCTCGTAACGCCAAACAGTATCTCGAGCAGATCAAAACACTTGTTTCAAACTTATCTTGAAATGATAACAACAACCTCAATAATGTACAACCACACTCCCTTCCACACATTTTCACATGAAATAAAGATGGGAAACATCTTACTTTTCTACGAATCAGAATCCAGGACCCACTCCCTATAATTATAATGTATGTAAAAATCCTTTGTTCACATTTCTTACCCGAAACCCCTACTACCCCCTAAATTCAAATCTTTTTTCTGAAATGGAATGTGAGGAAATGGGTCAAAACATCAACACAAAAGATTGAAAGACAGAAATCAACCAAGACGGCCATCAACACGAAAGGTAACATCTAAACCCAGAATATTATTTGTTACTCCTACTCCTTAACATTATGCCAATAAGGTTCACACTTTTTTTTTTCATTGTGTACCACGACAGATATAAAGAGATACAGAGGAAATCATGCGTTCGGAGAAAGAAGAAATGGTTATACTTTTATTTCGTAAAATGATTCCCTGTCAACCACTGATCCGTAAATATTTATTTACATACACTTACGCTGAAATTATTTGATTAATCACTAACCACAAAATTTTTGCAAACTGGAATTGCACCTGGAATAGGAGAACGTTAGACCATCCCAAGTTTGCATCATGAGGTACGGAAACTTTTTCATTTATTTCTAAAGTCGATCCCAACAACATAAAACCCATCAATACTATTCTTCTATTTGTATTATGGCATGGGAGGAATAAATTCACTATAGGAGGCCAAGGACATAAGAGACCGAGCACTAATGGCATACCCTGTTACTCAAGGTGAGAACCACATCCTTATACTTTCGATTTTTTTAATATACTCTAAGTAATGGTAATACTACGTTTACATCTGCAGAATAACAGAAGTGGAGAAGGATGTGTCAATGGTAATACTTTCTCAAAATCAATACCCTTTCACATTATAGTAACACTGCGGATGACCTACAAAGTTAAAATAATAACCCACATTTCCCCTCTAGAAACTTCAAGAAACCACTCAAAATAAAATGCTCTAGAAGTTAACGCGTATAAATTGCACGCCAGATAGAATTCCCAACAGTTGGTATGTAAACAGTAATATGCTTTATTAGCTGTAAGAAATTACCTGGATTGGATCTTTTGGATCCCAACACACATGATTTAGTTATCTTAACCATAACTAAAGCCCTGAACCCTGCATCAATTACCTAATAACAGACTTATATGTGAGTACAGGAAGATGTATAATGTGAATAAGAGACACACTTTATCAGAAAAGACTACAAAAACTCAGCAAAATTAAACAATATATAATAGATTCTAGATTGATGGGCAAAATACATAGTTTCTGAACATAATTAGAGTAAATAGCAATCACATCACTGTGCCTAGTCTTAGATCCTCCATCACAAAAGACTAAAAAAACTTTGCAAACTGTCATATTCTTTTAGATTTTAGATTTGTGGGTAAAATACATAGTCGTTGACCATAAGTAGAGTCAACAGAACATAAACAGAGTCAACAACAGGCACAGCTTAGGACATTAATCCATAATAACTTTCCCATACAGCAAGTGATTATGCTTTAGTCAGCCAACCAAAATCACCGTTCACAACAAAGTCCCCCCCAAAGTAGATTTTGTTCAATCGGACAGCACGTGCAGACCGCCGCGCGATAACCTTGTCCCTTAGAGGGATTTTTTTCATCACCGAAGACTCTACGACGTCTGGGACAAACCTGCGGACATCATTCGCCCCAGATGAACGCGAAAGAAGCACATGTGATATAATATTCAATGGGGACCTTTCACGGAGAAAACCGAGACCGTAGGAGACCTCACAGCGACGACAGTACCACAAATTACATGCACAGCCTTGTGTGTGCATGTTCTCACCGAGTCCAAGTTCAAAACAGACTGCACACTCTCTTATGAAACCACCAGACTTCAAACCTTCACCTAAACCACTCAAAAAAACCTCAAATTTCACTTTGCCGTCAGCTCTTAAAACATTAATCCAGAAAAACACGAAGGACCTAAAAAATAACCCCATGAAAACATTCATTTTAAGCTAAAAATAACTGTGATGATAATCTATTTTAATTAGTTATTAGCTATAGAATCAGTTAAACAGTAGTTAATAACCTTTCACTCCACACATGTTGATCCAGGTAGTAGTCCCAGCTGAAGGCAACCGGACACTGATGTAGAGAAGCCAAGAACTTTCACAGGGGAAGAGATAGATTTTTCACAATGGTAATTTTATTTTTGATCTTTCGGTATTTATAGTAGGTTAATACGTAATGCAATTGCTATGACAATACCAAAGTTTTAACCCAAAAACAGTGAAATGCAATAATGATCTCCACTAACTCAAAACACACACCATTCGTCCACTAAGTGCACTATTTACAAAATCAAAACCAACCAATCATGTAAAAGCACAAGTTCCACAGTCTGATCCTGAAGATATTCATTGATGTGTGCAAATATTTGCCACAACATTAAACTCACCAGATCTAGGAACTACTGTTTTCAATATTTTGTGTACTCCAGTGATATTTTTTTTAAACTCATATTTCTGTAATACATAATGCCACCCGCCTGTTCAAAATTACAACACTAATTTTTTCAGCAAATAGATTTATATAACAATTGCTTCGGTTTTTAGTTTCCCAAAATTGAAATTTGCAGTGAAAGATGATAAACTTGAATCCAATATTTTAATAGACTTTATTAAATGTTTGAAAATTGCTATATAGGACTTCCATGTTGTTATCCCAAAGCAGGACTAATTACTGGTATGTTTTGTTTTGACAGTAACATACTGCAAACATGGCTTTGTATTCCAAATTTGTAATCAATTTGTCATATTTGGAAATAAAAAATGACAGTCCTATTTAGAAATTTTGAAAACCTTATAGTCCCATTTACGGAACTTTCTCTTATTTGAATTTATATATCCATCAAAACCCAACAAATTCACACCTTTATGATGGTATTTTCAATAAAGAATATTTTCATATAATTATTTTTATTACCAATATGACGTTATACATATATAATCAGTGAGATTAGAACAAAAAAGGAATGTTGGGAGTACACAAAAGATTGAAATTGCATAACATAATTTCCACTTACCTTCATTCATAGTACACGAATTTACGTAAGTTCCCCCACAAATAGTGTGGATCACATTTACCATTTGTTAATGTACATTTGGAAAAGTTTGCACCTTTAATAAATAAATTCCGACTCTGTAAAAAAAGAAATAATACCATTCGTTTGAATTTATCACTTTTTCAAATTAAATTAAAAACCGGTGCTGGGACATGTATTTATTACTTTTTCAAACCTGCTTTTATATTTCACGTTAGAATGTATGCAAATGAGTAGTTATAAGATATGTATCCAGTGTATGATCTCCGAAAGTTTTGATATTATTCCAAAAAACAGTGTGCAGTTTTTTTATAAGGGACAATTGAAATAAAAAAAGATTTTTGTATTATCATAGATAAATGAATTAAAAGATCTGCCTGGATATGCCAGCCAATCAGGGGGGGCATTAATGGTATATTATTTGATCAAAAGATAATAGGATGTATGCAAATTAGTAGTTGTAAGATATGTATCTAGTGTATGGTCTCCGAAACTGCTGATATAATTGCCAAAAAAAGTGTCCTCTTTTCTATTTATATCAGGGATAATTGAATAAAAAAAAGATTTTTGTATTCACGTAGATAATTGAATTAAAAGATTTGCCTGGGTGAAACTAACTGCCATGGACATGCCAGCCAATCAGGGGGGCTATAATGGTATATTATGTGATCAAACGGTTTTTCCTTCCACATCTTTTGCTATGAATTACACTTAAAAAATTAAAACACAACGACTCACTACAAATTATTTTCTTTCTCTAGCCTTGGAATTATTGCAAAAAAAACAAATAATACCAATTGTTTTAATTTCAAACCAATCAGTTTTCCAAATATACTGGTGCTGGTACATATAATTATCACTTTTTCAAACCTTCTTTTATACTCCACGTTAGAATGTGAACCTAATCCGTTTTCAAAAGATAACAGGATGTATGCAAATTAGTAGTTGTAAGATATGTATCTAGTGTATGGTCTCCGAAACTGCTGATATTATTGCCAAAAAAAGTGTGCACTTTTCTATGTATATCAGGGATAATTGAATTTTAAAAAGATTTTTGTATTGACGTAGATAATTGAATTAAAAGATCTGCCTGGGTGAAACTAACTGCCATGGATATGCCAGCCAATCAGGGGGGGCATAATGGTATATTATGTGATCAAACGGTTTTTCCTTCCACATCTTTTGCTTTGAATTACACTTAAAAAATTAAAACACAACGACTCACTACAAATTATTTTCTTTCTTTACCCTTGGAATTATTGTTCATTTCTGAGGAAGATATAAACCTGGACTTGCAGGGATATGCATCATGACACAAAATTGAGGGCCACCAAGTGTTTTTATTTATTTTAGAGTTTTGTTTTATCATGGGTCTGTAAATGTAATAAATAGAATTAGGGTAGATTTAGGGCAACACATCAGCCTCCGGAAGAGACAACAGGTATGTCACTCAACTCACATCTCAGCTTTTGCTTGAATCGTTAGAAAACAAAGAAGACAACATATATTTTTAAAACTAAATCCCTAGTCTCAGTCCTTAAATTGGTTTTGAAAGACAAAATTAGCAATTAGGGAAAGGCCATATTCTTTGATTACACACCAAGGATCTTACTCCCACCCAGTCCACTGCAAAAACATATAGGAGTCTGTGGGTATACCTTAATATAATATTTTTTTATAGAAATGCTTCATTAGTACACGTGATGGGAACTCCCTTTATGGCCGAGTCCCCAGCCCAAAATACATTTCAAACAGCCAAACTATTGGCAAAACCAAACCCTAAGTTCCTAAACGGTAATGAAATAGGTATCCAGAGTTGGCGTTATTGATACACACATAAGATGAAAACATAGATGGACACAGCCACACCTACCTCAAACAATGTCTGCATTAGACATGAAATAGGTACCCAAAGTTGGGCTTATTAAACATACATAACATAAAAACATAGATGAACACTGATATGCATTAACATAGTTAATGCATAGTCTTCATTCCCTTTTCACCCCCCTAGGCTTTTTGGTAGAAGTTGAAGCTTCAAACTCTCCAAAGAGGTCACGCCTGAGTTTCTCAGTGTCAACATCCAAAGCATGCCTTTTCTCCTTGGTCAGCAGTGGGCTAGAAACAGATTGCTGCGATGATAAAGCCTGAAATTTTAAAAATATTTGAGTCCCTGAGTATCAACCCTACCTAGTCCTTAACCTAATATTTTTAAAAAATACCATGCTCTCAGGCCCTGAAAACTCTTTAGCCAATCTTGTGAACTCATCTTCCTCATCTTCCTCCTGAATCAATAACATATATAAAATCTGGCAAATAACATATTAATACAGAATGATAAATGAAATATATCTAACCTCTACAGCATTTATCTTAGATGAGTATAGTGCCAACACTCTGGCATCTGTGTTCATCCTTATGACACTGAAAGTCTGATTTCCTTTAAAGCTCCTGCTTTCTCTTTTAAATTGCACTTTAAACAAAGCCTTTATATCAATGAGGGAGTTGATCTCAGATGGGAAGTAATGTGGTCCATAGTTCCTCTGCAAGAATATATACCTTAGTTCATTCATCATATATGAGGAAATTAGATAAAATATTACTTAGGAGTTAGGATGAAAATGGACCCTAGATACTTGTTCCTTAAGGGATGCAGCAGACTTCCCGAGCAAACATGAGACCTCCCTATCCCAAAGCAGGAAGGAGGCATGTGTTGTGCCATCAACAACACGGACATTGACTTTATACCTGATTCCATTAAAGATATCTTCTTTAGCAATTCTAGGGATTGTTTCAAAACATAAATTTATGTCTAGATTACAAACCTAAGAACGGCATCATTTGAATTGCAAGAGACACAGCAAAAGCTATCCCCATTAGGTGAAACCTTCCTGTTACAACCTATGCAAGAAATGTAGGACCAATCTTTGTGGCTGTCAATAGCCACAATTTCTCCGTAAACCCAATACTTCCCATCCTGTTTTTCATCCACAGATGAAGTCAATTTTAATTTTTTACATCTTTGGAATTAAAATTAAAATTTACTTGCCTCCTGAAGTTTTGTAAGAGCCTCAATAGTAATCAAATCTTGCTGGCCAGTTGCTATGTCACTATTGTCTGAGTTGTCTGTTGTTATTGAAAATCGAAGTCCCTTACTTGATCTTTCAGCCATCCTGGTATTATATTTTGTAGTATAGGTTACGTGCATATTTTATTTGCTTCTGGTAACATTAATTGTAATAGATTTTCAGAAAATCTATACCTTGACTTAAATTCCACAAATTCTTCCTCACTCCCATTTAAAATAACCTTGGTGGTGTTGAACATGTTGGAAACATGAACATGGCCTAATTCATATCACATCTTAGGTTAGATATTAAAGCAAAAACTAAACTTAAGACTTTAAGAGGGATTGGTGTTAAGATAACCTTGGTATTTCCTAGCTTTGCAACACTGGAGTAGCATTACAATCGGCTCTGATGTAGTGAGCTTGTAAGTCAAAAGCATCTCAACCATCGGTCCCCAAAGAGTACATGCCATAACATTTCCCCTATACAGTAACATTTTTTTTATTAGAAACGCAGTTAAAAACCACCCATCTAAAGCTTTTAATGAACAAATATACAACTCACTCAGGGTCTCCTAAAACCATCTCCATCAGCTTTCGGGGCCTGTCATTCTTTATAATTGTTTTCGGGTCTTTATCGTGAACTACCTGGCCTATCACGTCTGGATAAAATAAGTACTTTAGTGGGTCTATTGAAGTCATATTCATAATGTTATCCCTGCAAAGGTTAATAAAATTCTCACCAATTCCATATTTTTCATCTAAGTTGTCTTGAGCTTGCAATGAAGCAAAAGACACCAATGAGAAAGTTCTTATGGGGAATGGGACTCCCCTGATCTCAAAGGCAGCACTTTTGTTAAAAAAACAGAGTCTATAGGCACTTGTTGAGGTCTTAAAGAACATGTAGTTCTCCTCAACCATAAAATTTTTCACTGCAAAAACCCGCCCCTCTTTGAATATGCCAATGAATTTGTTGATGAACTGGTCAGGAATGTGCGCATGCATCCTGGATCCCTGATATTTATTGTCAAAGTGTTAACATATATGTTTAAATGCAAAAGTATTAGAGAAAAAGAATGAATTGTAAACGTGCAAACCTCTTCGTCATGAAAAACAACCTCCAGCGATTCTGGAAAGCAATCATGGGCTGGCTCACGATACACCCTTATTGCCCTAGCCTTTGTTGCCCATGTAGTCTTGCTCTGGTCAATCTCACGAAATAAGGACCACATGCCTACCATGTTTAGGAATGAATATCTTTGCTTCTGTGTAATTTGCTGGATATGAGGTGTAGAGATTGAAACACTCGATGTACTCTATTTATAGCTGGATGGAGAACTAAGTCCAGACCAATAATACTCTTCAATGGGATGGGGGGAAAACTGTTCACAATTTTTTGAAATTCAAATTTAGAATTGTACTCGTCCGATGAAAATGAAGTAAAATGAGTAGGAAATCTGGGAGAAATCCGTATGCCAGCTAACCCCCAAACTGGACCAATGAAAACTGATATAAGATGCGGAAAAATCTATATGAAATCCGAACAGTAACCCAAAAACCTCCAACCACACCTGAACTCTGAAATATTGCAATCCGTCCCTCATTTTGCCTTTAAACCCTAACCCAGCACTCATTTAATTAGAATATAATCCTTGCTGCTGACAGCGACAGTTCTGAGCGGGAAAAGCAGCCCCAAGATCATTTTGCTGTTAGATTATAAGGGATTAGGGGTGACGTTTGTTCGGATTTGTCGATTTTTTACTTTCACTGTTTAATCTAATAGTGAGAGTTACTTGATCTAACAGCTAGCACCGCCAGCCAATGAGCACTCGCTCTAACGATGATTCAGTGATAGTTACTCGATCCGACTGTGACCATAGACCACAGCCGGTGAACACCTCAATGCTAAACATCATCAGGGAAGGGGCCTTTGGTATGTAGTGCTCACGGGTCAATTTCTATTTATACACAAAGGCTAAAAAATACACAAGGCCAATTTCTTTTTGTAAAGTGATATATGATGTACGAAAATACAAGAGTAGATGGGGTGGTTATAGGTGGTTAGATCGTCCTATAAGGATATTTTTACTTGGACGGTAATTTGTTGGTCTGGTCTGGTCTGAACTAGTTTGATTTGGTAATTCTGCTTTCTTTGTATTTTTATAGCTATTCAAGTCTGATATGATCTGATCTAGTCTAGTCTGGAATAAATTAGAGTCCAAGTAAAAACATTCTAATACCTTAAAGTTGTCAAAAATGAAATAAGGAAAGTGCTAGAACAAATAGGGAATTAACTACTTTTCGAAAGTTGAATTAGGAAACTGCCAAAAACGATGAGAGAACTACTCCATAATATCCAAGTGGAATCTAATTAGAGGCCATTTGGTAACACTTTTTACGGTTTATCACGCTTATCAGCCAACTTTTTCATTAAACATGTAACTTTTGTTTTCGCTTGCTGAATTGTGTAATAATAAGAAAAATTAAGGTTGAAGTTACTTTTTTTCTGTATTAGTTGAAGTTACTGTAAATGACCATTTTAGCTATTTTTACATATAATATTTTTTATTAATAAAATATATTTTAAATTTTTTTCTTCTTAAATCAGCAGAATCAGCCAATGCAGCCACATCAGCCAGAACTTCATAAACTTCAGCAGAATCAGCCGAATCAGCCGATTTTCATGCTACCAAATGGACTCTTATAATATTAATATGAGTGAATTTAAGAAGTAATTTTGGACATAATTAATTTCGATTTAAGGTCCAAATCACGAAAGTAATTTCTCATGCTTCCTTATTCCTTATGGACTCCATCCACTCGGGACTTTGATTTTTAATCCTATTTTTTCATTTTTGGATCTGTTCTTGACCCCAATCACTAAACCAATTTTAAGAAAGTCATCAAAAGATTTATCCCAACGCAAAATTAATTATATATGTATTTTAATTTTTAATCTTTTAGAATTTTTTAAAACTTTTTAGGCATCACATCTAAGATCCTTCCCGTGGTTGTCCCACTAACTTTGTCACTTCCTATTAGACTTAAATATAATTACAGTCAAAGTTGTGTACCGATTAATTATAATGTCGTACGTTTTCTGGCTGTTGGTGTTGGAGTATGCCGGTTAACCTTGGGGCTAGGACCCCTCAGGCTGAGCACCCCGGGTGAGGACGTACGTCGGTGATGCCTTAGGCCATGATGGATACTTCCCCCCAGTTCACTGGAGACGTTCGTCTGGACCTCCCCCCCCCCCCCCACGTTGGGCCTAGACGTTCGTCGATATAGGAACAACTAAATTTAAAATACATAGGAACACAAATAGAAACAATAGTAAAAATATCAAAAATTGATAAGTAATTTAAAAACATCAAAATAAAGTATCAAAATAAAATAAAATTTTAAAAATATTAAAGTAAAATGTAAAGCTTTTAAAAGATGTAGAACATACAAGTAGTTCCAAAACACAAAAATATAGTTTTTCAAAAAAAAAAACTACATAACATGTCAAAAAACGGTTAAAGGTATACGGAGTATTTTTAAAGTAAATATATTTATATGATATACATTTTTAGTATATAAGCAGAAGTGATGAATCAGAAGTAATAGAAAAAACAATTTGAACTTTTTTCCTAAATTTTCCTATTAAATAATAATAAATACACTATATTGTTTATAGCATTTTAGAAAAAAAAATTTACATCATTCGACCGTTTCTTCCTCACTCTTTTATAAGTTATTTATGTTCCTTTTCAAATTATGATTATTGTGTACTATTACTTACCATACAAGAGTCAGTTAATGCCTTTTTAAACAATTATTTTAAGTATAATAATCATTGATTATATTCATGTTTGTATTTTTAATTCTATAAACTTACAGTCTATAATGTATTTGATGGTAACACAAACTAAAATATTTGATATGAGACTGAGTCGTTTATCCATTTTGTGTATTTTCCCTTTCTTTTTCTTTAAAATATATATTTCATTTCTCAAAAAATTAACTATGACCTACTCTTACCGTGCGACGCACGAGTACACATACTAGTAATTTAAAATTTTGAGGTATCACACTCGAGTATTGATCGGAGCTGGGTTTCGGGGTTAGGCAAGGGTCACAAGGTGTATGGGTGGGCTGGGGGTGAGTAGGTGGATTGGTGATGGTGGCTATGGTTTATGTGGCGAAGGTTATGTGAGGGATAGGGGAGAGAGTTATGATATTTTGAAAGATAAAGCCGAACTGAAATCCTAAAAAATATTATTTCAAAATTTGAGACAAAAAAAATTGAACTGAATTTCACTTTAGTTCGTCATTTGATTTTATGATTTTGATTTAGTTTATGTTTGGCACAACTAGATAAAAAAATATTTTTATGAACTTTGTAGTAACTGTAGCCTTTAGTGACTGAAAAACTCTCAAAAATGGCATATCATCCATATAATTAGAAGCTTTTAAGGATTTTAAATATTACAAAAGCTAAAAAGTAGGGATTTGAGCCTTCCAAAATCTTAGGCAGGTAGGATTTTTTGTTATTGGGAAAATCCGAGTATTATAGTTCGGATTCACCTAACTCCCCCGTCAATGGCGGATCAAGCGACAAAATTTTGGGTGATCAAATTGTTGTATAATTAAAGCGCTGAACGATAATATTGTTTAATCCAACAATATATAGAGTATTATTTGATTTAACAACAACAAATAGTAAATTAAATTAAATCTAAGAAACTAACCAATGATACAAACCAATGATATTTTCATCCATTTATACATATATTTTTTCATTTTATTCTCAAAAATTTGTGAACAACCTTGAATAGAGTAGGTCCGCCACTACTCCCCATGAGTTAATATGAGCAGTTTCCAAGGTAAAAGAGGAGTGTACCAATTAGAAACAAATATAAATATTTAAACGTTTGTATTATAGTTCAGATTCACCTAACTCCCCATCAATGGCGGATCAAGCGACAAATTTTTGGGTGTTCAAATTGTTGTATAATTAAAACATTAAACGATAATATTGTTTGATCCAACAATATATAGAGTATTATTTGATTTAACAACAAAAAATAGTAAATTAAATTAAATCTAAGAAACTAACCAATGATACAAACCAATGATATTTTTATCCATTTATACATACACTAGTTTTGAAGCCCGTGCATCATATTTTATCTAATTTTAAATGTGTTTTTTTTAAATTGGTTATGGAATTAATTTATATTTAATAAATGAAGTTTTTCATTGACACTATAATCTAAGAAAAATACTAAATTGATTATTTGACTTGATTATGGAGATATAGTATCGATGTAATATTTAGTAATAATGTTGTGTCATACCAGTCAAAAGATATTTACTCCCTAGACGGTTCTTTAAAATGTTGAAAGATACGAGTCAAATTTATAATTTGGCACTTCAATTGCTTCTCCTTTGACTTGTTTGATGATAGTGTTATGAAAGAATTGTATCATGATTTTACTATCGGCTACAACACGATACTCTTCTTTGTTTGGAACCACTGAGAAATTTTTTATGATGTGTACCATTCCTTCCTTTATTTTGGGACGTAATGTATGAACATATCCACTTTTTATAGATGCATGAACATAATCACCCTGCAATCATGAAAAATATCATTAGATTTTTGTGTAAAATAAATGCATTAAAAATTCGAAATTAAAAAAAAAAAGTATACCTCTTCATCGATCAGAACCATGTCTAGACAAATTAAGCTTCCTTTCCTTTTGTGATTGATGACATCACAGAGGCGTGTAACACGAATTTTGATTGTCCAGTCGGACTTGGATGTATCAAGCTGACGTATTAGAGAATAACTTCTGCATTTTATGGAATATTAATTAATCAGGTATAATGCATAATAATATCATGTATCATAAACATGTGAATGGTAAAGTATCATAATACTCTTTCTTTGTTGCCTTCGAATGATGAAAAATGCAACCACATGGTTTTTTAATTCAAAACGGAATTTATACTATGACATGTTCATATATGGAATCATTGAAAAAGAATAATTTTGATTATATAAATATATATATACTCCGTAATACGTATGTATTTTCACAAGTAATATGTTTAGCTCAGCCCAAAAAAGTAAACACGTTTATGGAATATTAATTAATCAGGTATAATGCATAATAATATCATGTATCATAAACATGTGAATGGTAAAGTATCATATGTACGTAGTATTGAATAATATATCATTAAAAATGTTGTAGAAACTTACTGTGATGACATTCTTGATATA